GTGCACTATCACTGTCTTTGAATTCTTTCTTAAGATCGCTCTCAGAGCTTGTGGAATCGGCACGTACTCGGGCGGTTTCTTCCGATTCGTCATCACACGTATTATCATAATCGTAGCCGCGGTTCTCGTCATCGTAGTATTCAGGTGTCTGCCATGACTCGTGTTTGTGCATTCTGAAATTCAAAATTGGAAAACCAATCAGAGTTATCCAGTCGTCAGCATAGCAACATATAGTAACCACTGCCGTAGCAATAGGGTCAGTTTACTCGTATATGACTGATCTGACCATTTTCAGCAAATGACGACCGAGATCTCGCTGACTTGTCCCCCTCCTAACTAGTGTTCTCTTCCCTGACGCTATCGCGTCAACTCTTGCAAATACCATGGTCTGCAGAACAGTGGACGCGATGACGCCAGAAATTTGAAACCTTTTTGGCACTCTCGCTTACAACAAGATCTTGGCGGCCATTTTGGGAATAAGGTCTCTGCCGATATTCTGCTTTTCATAATTTAACCTTATTTCTAACAGAACGACTTCATGAATAATTTAATCTCATCCCAATCCTTTGACGCCATTCGTGAGCTACTACCATATCGACATCATTATAGATTTACACGACTATACCCTCAATAATGAATGATCGTTGGACTAACCCTACTGTTCCTCAAATCAAATATGACACCGTAGATATATTGAAAGATAATTCCAACTTGATATAAATTCCTAACTAAACAATTCTATCTAATTGTATCTATTATACTGTGACTGTTTACAATACCTTGCACGCCAGCACATGTACATAATGGTCGCCACAGTTAACAAGACTGCCAGGGATCCGGCAATGATGGCAATTATAAGTGTGGTGGTATCTGTCAAGATTGAATTGAAAGCGAAATTTATAAACAAAGTAATTATTTCTCATAATCTTAGCTTTAATAGAGATTTCAGCATGTTCTTTTTTCATATGGATTACAATATACTGAAATGTAGTAATATTTCATTAGATTGTTGACTCACGTAAAACTTATAGAATGATGTAATAATATTAGTACTCACCCACTCCTTTAGGGGCCTCTGTTCCAGGAGGAGCTGCAATAGTGGATGTCACAACTGCAGAACAAGACAGATTTATAATTCAGACCATGATATTACTTATAATTAGTGTAAATTTAATATTGAAATTTTATGATGAGGCACTTGAATAAATCGTCGACGTTTTTATTTCAATTTGGCATTAGACATCTTACTCAAATGATTAATGGTGGGTTTGTTGTTTAAACGACAGGGCCTACATGTTTATATCATTTTCCACTCCTGAAGTGTGCAATGCTACAATAAAATATGCAGCGATACACACTCGCATACTTTTGCATGCATTAAGTGAGTTATTTCAATAATTTTGAAATTTCAACCAGAAAAACAATGTGCAACAATACCACTGAACTTACTTTTTCCACAGTCAGGATCCGTGTCACCTACTGCGCATGTCTTGTACTCTACTGGATCACTGTATATGTATTCCACTCCCATAACGAACAATAACATAAATTCGTAGCGAGTTTCACTATCCAGGTTAAGGACTGTGGCCTGATTTACGGATCCATCAACGACGGTGGCGTTGAACCAACTGCCATCAGCTGGTATCTCTCGTTTCACCACGGGTAACTTACGCCTAATTTGTACAACCACGTAGGACAGTTCAAAGTTAACGTTCCAATGTATTGTAATCGAATCATTCGAAGCTTCAATTAGAATTATTCCAACGCCAATGGTATCACCTGTAGGGAAAGGTGCGAACGTTTGTTCTATTGTAGTGTACGGTCCACATGACGGAGAACCGCTTTCACCGTCGTCGCATGTCCAATACGTATATACATCACTGAAGTAGTCTGTATTACCAACTGTAACCTTAATTCGTACATTGTATCTAGTTTGCTCATTTAGACCTGATATAATTGCTGTTCGGGCATTGTTAGTAAACGTCTGATCATCAATCCATGATCCCGCACCAGTACTGTACTGCGTTATTACTACGCTAGCTTGATGTGAAATGCTCCATGATATCCGTAACGATGTGCTAGTGGAGGATACTAACGTAACGGTTATATCAGGTTGCATTGGCGTTGTGACTGCTGTTGTTACGGGT